GATCAGATTTTGTGCAAAATTTTGTAAATCTGTTTCACCGATCACTACAACTGAACAGACGCTCAGAACAACCAAAATATATAAAAGTGAAGACATTTTCAAACAATTCTTGATATTTGACTCAATTTTTAAAATTTAAATCAATTTATTCAATGATTTATTTGAACTGATTGTTTGATACAAATTGTGTCTCTATTTATACCTAAAAATCGAGTAAAACGTAACACTTTTATCACTTATTCAATGACTAATTGTTTTGATAAACTATTTCATGAATGTATTGTTATTGAAAAACTGATAAAAGACGAGTGCTTTGGGTTTATCTTTGAAAGCCATATATGTCTTAATACTTGTCACAAATTTAATACTTTTATTGAATAATGATTACAAACAATATTTGCAATAATTCTTTGTTTTCAAAGTTATGTACTTGGTAAGTTATATTTTAGGTGCGAATTGTATCAAAAATTCATATCAAAACTAATCTGAGAAAAAACAAGTATATTATTATAGTATAAGTCAACAAATAGTTTGACGTGATTTTAGTTAATTTGTGTAAAAATTTCAAACCTATTACTTAACACTTATCTTAAGACTCATGTTTCCCATCATTTTCATTGCAATCAAAAGTATATATAAAGAGACTTATATATTTAAAACAATTCAGAAAAAAAAAAAATTTCTTTAATTATTTAAATTATAAGTAAAGGAATTCAGTATTTTTGATAACTAATAAAAATGGTTAAGATATGGATAGCATTGGTGTCAGCCTTAGTCTTGGTGTCAGCCAAACCTACCGATGATTTGGAAACAATCGCTAATAATATGATTTCAAAGTAATACTCATTTTAAAAATAAAAAATATTTAATATTTAAAAATTCCTAATATTTTAATTTATTGACAGAATTCCGGCACATTTTGGTGGAAAGGCTGACACCAATGCTATCCATATCTTAACCATTTTTATTAGTTATCAAAAATACTGAATTCCTTTACTTATAATTTAAATAATTAAAGAAATTTTTTTTTTTTCTGAATT